CCAGCCAATCGGCGGCGGGAGGGGGAGGGCTCGGTCAAAAGGGGGGTTCAGAAAGAATCGGAAAAGGGGATGGTAGGAGGCGAGGGTGGGAGGTCCCGGAATGTACACGTCCCAATCACATGCACTCGTGAAACTAAAAACCCGAGGCTAGACTAAACGCTACACCCGCAGAAATGCAGAAAGAAGGAGGGATACTGTGAGCCAGCGCTTACAGCGCCACACCTGGCCAAAATAAATCGAGACGAATCAGAGAGGGAGGAAGCGTGCGGTTTCCAGTACAATACAAGCCCAGCAAGGGAGCTGCCGGTTTGGTTTGGCGTGCCCCAAAAGGAAAGAGGAGTAGTGCAGCAAAGGGGATGCGGGTAGGGCAAGGCCTGGGCCGCTCAGGTGGGCGTGGTTGGTCTACATGCCTGCCAGTGAGCAGCGCCCAGGTGCCAAAAAATGGCCCGCAAGTGCAAGAGAGGCGCCGGCTGCACGTCGCGTGACGGCGCGGCGGGGAACGAAATGGTGCAGGGTGCGCTTTGGGGTGCTCGGTGCCCACTCGGGCAGGGCAGCCACTCGGGCTGCACATGCGCCGGTTGGTTAAGTGCAGCAGGGTGCAGTTTTCCGAGTCCACGGTAAATATGGCGAAGCGTAGCTGGCTAGGATGCACGGAGGGTGCGTCACGCAATGATGAGAGGTGAGCGCGCGTGCGGTGAAGGCAGGGCAGCCGTGCCTGCCGCACGGAGCGCAGCTGCCTCGCCTTAACTATGGGGGCCGGGCATGGCCAGGGTGGTCTGGGCGCTGCCCAGCGAAGCCAGCTCAGAGGGTGTGGGGGGGCCTGCAGCAGCGCGGGACGATGCTGCGGCGTGGGGCGCCGGCAGGTGCCAGATGGGGATGGGTGCCGTGGGCCACAGGCAGCCATGCATTTGCTGCAGCTGGCGCCCAGGCACCGGCTCTCTGGGCAGGCAGCAGGCGCTGTGCCCAATTCCATGCCGCTGCTTCTGTGCCTGCAGCACCCCCAGCAGGCCAGCTGGGAAGCGGCAGCTGGCACAGGCGCCCCCACCACAAGCAGGCGCACCCTCGGGATCCAGAAGGTGGCTGTAGGCGGCAG